GGGTGGATGACCTGAGGTCAGGAGTTCAAGACCAGCCTGGCCAACATGAAGAAATCCCGTGTCTACTAAAAATACAAAATTAGCTGGATGTGGTGGCGCATGCCTGTAATCCCAGCTACTGAGGAGGCTGAAGCAGTAAAATCACTTGAAGCTAGGAGGCTACTGTGGTGAGCCAAGACGGAGCCACTGCAATCCAGCCTGGGCAACAAAAGCTAAACTCCTTCTCAAAAAAAAAAAAAAAAAATTCTGATAGTGAGTGGCACAACTGACTGCCAGTTTTAGTTTAACTTCCCTATTCACTTTTAGTTCTACTTCAAGTCAACATATTTTTATTAAACTTTTTATTTTGAACTAATTTTAGACTTACAGAAAAGTTGCAAAAATTGCAGAGTTCCCTTATATCTTTCATCTAGCATCTTATAGTTATCAAAAATAAGAAATTAACATTTGTACAATTCAATTAATTAAACTAGAGGCCATGTTCAAATTTCACCATTTTTTCCACTACTGTCCTCTGTAAGTTCCCAGGGCCAATCCAGGATCCCCACATCATGTAGCCTTTAGTTGTTATTTTTCCTTAGTCTCCAGTCTATGAGAGTTCCTCGGTCTTTACATGTCTTTTGTGACCCTTTCATGTCTTTGTGACCTTGGCACTTTTGAAGAATACTGGTCAGTTATTTGGGGTTTGGTGTTTCTTGTTTTTAATTTTAAAAAATAGAGATGTGGTCTTGCTACGTTGCCTAGGCTGGTCTCAAACTCCTGGGCTCAATCAACCCTCTTGCCCTGGATGCCCAAAGTGCTGGGATTATAGGCATGAGCCTCTACACCCGGCCTGGCCAGTTATTTCGTAGGATGTTCCTCGGTTTAGGTTTTTATAATATTTTATCGTGATTAGAAAAATAAAAAGGTTATGCATTTTTGGCAAGAACAGCAAATACCACAGAAATGCTGCTGTGTCCTTCTCACTGCTTATCTTTGGGTTCATGATGTCCTTGTCTTATTACTGGTGATGTTAACCTTGGTCACTTTGTAAACATAGTATCTCCACTGTCAGATCACTATTTTTTCTTTGTAGTTAATAATTATCCTGGGAGAGATACTTAGAGACTATGTTAATATTCTGATTTTCCTCTAACTGGATTTTGTCTGCAACAACTACTTTGGTACTGTTTCCCTAACAGTGGTTTTGTATTTCCTTCTTCCCATCTATGTTTATTAACTGGAATTAATAATAAATATAAATGTTTATTAATTACAGTTGTCCCTCCCCCCACACTTATTTATTTATTTAGCAATATCAATATGAACTCATTTTATTGTATGGGTTAAAGTCCAATACTATCATTATTCATTTTATTGCTCAAATTGTTCCAACTTGGATACTAGGAACTCCTTCAACTTGCTTCTTGGGTCCTTTCGACAAGGTCCCTAACTTTTTTTTTTTTAGCATTTCCTTACTTTCAAGCACCACAAGATGTTTTAGGCTTATCTCGGATTTTCTCTGCCCCCAGCACTGAAATCGGCCACTTCTCTAAAAAGTCCCAGTTCCTTTAAAAGCCAAGATGTGGATGCTCAGTGCTACTGGGATAGAACTATTAAGCCAGACAGGCGGACAACAAGTGTTTGTTTCCTCACTATATTAAATTCATTAGCTGGGAATCATTAACGTTACCTAGGAGCTTGCTAAAAGTACAAATTCAGGCCCCAACCTAGACCAGAATCTCTGAGACTCCTGCAGGAATTTGCTTTCACAGATTTGCCAGATGACTCTGGTGTTCACTATAAAGTTTAAGGACCATTGGTTTAAAGTTAGTTTTCCTTCATTATAAATCTTGTATTTTTAATTTTAAAAAAGGAAAGCTTAAACCTTATAATTTGCCTTATGTATAAGTTATATTTTTACTACAACTAATAAAACTATAGGTGAATGGCCTCATCTCTTAAGGAACTAAACATTTCCCTAATCTTTATTTTCCTGCAAAATTTGTTAAAAATCTAGTGGTCAAAATAGTTAAAAGTGGGGTGGGGGAGGGATAAGGCAGGCGCAGTGGCTCATGCCTTTAATCCCAGCCCTCTGAGAGGCCAAGGTGGGAGGATGACTCCAGGCCAGGAGTTTGAGACCAGCCTGGGCAACACAGTAACACCCTATCTTTACAAAAATACAAAAAGTAGCTGGGTGTGGCAGTGTGTGCCTGTAGTCTCAGTTAACCTGGGAGACCGACGTGGGAGGATCACTTGAGCTCAGGAGCTCAAGTTTGCATTGATAGTGCCACTATACTCCAGCCTGGGTGACAGAGCAAGCCCTTGTCTCAAAAAAAAAAAGTAGTTATAAAGTACCTCTATACAGTACTTTAAAAAATACTGTGGTCAGGTACAATGTCTCATGCCTATAATCCCAGCCCTTTGGGAGGCTGAGGCAGGAGAGGACTGCTTGAGCCCAAGGGTTCAGAGAAGAGCCTAGGCACTAGGCAACATATCGAGACGCTGGCTACATAAAATAATACAAAAATTAGTCAAGTATGGGGTGTGTGCCTGTAGTCCCAGCTACTTGGAAGGCTGAGGTGGGAGGATCACTTGAGACTGGGAGGTCAAGGCTGCAGTGAGCTGTGACTGTGCCACGGCACTCCAGCCTGGGTAAGAGAGAGATCCTGTCTCAAGAAACAAAGAGACAAAAACTGTAAATAATGTTACTTTTATACAAAGAACTTACAAGTAAGCCTCCAGGATCAAGTCCTGCCTATAAATAGGACCTAACATCCATAAAGCAAATCTACCAATATAGAACCCAGCATAGAACTATCCTCCAAGGTCAGACTGCCTAGGCCTAAATGACTGCTCCAGCTTCTGACTTGGTGGTGTTTTTTTTTTTCCTCTCTCTCCCCTTCTCTGCCCTTGGTTTTCTTTGTTTTTTTGTTTTGTTTTTGAGACAGAGTCTCCCTCTGTTGTACAGACTGGAGTGCAATGGTGCTATCTCGGCTTACTGCAACCTCCACCTCCCAGGTTCAAACGATTCTTATATCTCAAACCTGCTGAGAAGCTGGGAGTACAGGCCCCCGCCACCATGCCCAGCTAACTTTTTTGTATTTTTAGTAGAGACAGAGTTTCACCACGTTGGCCAGGCTGATCTCAAATTCTGACCTCAAGTGATCCACCCACCTCAGCCTCCCAAAGTGCTGGGATTACAGGAGTGAGCCATAACACCTGGCCTATTTGAACTATTAAAGGCAAAACCAGGCAGCTTCCTTTATGTAATTAAAACAAAACCCCAGAAGAAACCAGTGTTTTAAAATTTGACTTTTTGCAAAAATGTCATTACATTTATTTACATGATATATACCCATGGTCAAGGGCTGAAGGAAAATCTCTAAAAACCAAAACAATATGATTTGTTGAGGTAGTGGAATTACAGATAAATTTTCTTCCCAGAAATTTCAATTACCAAAATTATGTGCACAGATCATAACTGACCATGGCACCAAAAAAAAAAAAAAAAAAAAAAAAATCATGTGCCAACTCCTTTAAATATTAGTAAAGAGGAAAATAGCCCACACAGTGGCAACACAGGAATTCAAACCCAGCTATGACTCCAAAGTCTACGCTCATTATTGATGTTAGGGATGCCCTTTTTTATTCCCAAATGCTTGATTTCTGTGCAAAATTTATGATAATGTATGATCACCTACTGAATTCCTTCTTGTGGAACACAGTTTAACCCAGTGGTTCATATGATGCAGAAATATTAATGAAATTTTAACACAATTAAAATTCTAAATGGTAAACAAAAACAGCCAATTCTTCATTCTTTCCATTTTTTTTGGAGGTTGTAGAACCTACAGGTGAATGTGCCTTCACAGTTGGCTTAGTGAACGACCTCAAAGTGAGAAAGTAGACAAGGCTTCTTGAAGCAAACTTTCTTTCAGTAAATTCAAGTAGCACTTCAAAGAAGTGTGGATTTTCCTGGAATACAGTTTTGACTTCTGTGTTCATGGAGATGAATGGAATACAGAAATGACTAGGCAAAAATAAGTTATATACAAGATACAACACATTAAAATACCCAATAATCCTCAAATAATTAGCTAAATTCTGAAGTTAATTTCTTTGTGAATTATTGAAGTTCTCAAGCTAACATTACCTCTACATTACAAAGAAACTAGATAAAATAGTGCTTAAATGAGTCACCCAAGGTTACGTCACAAACCTGCAGAAAAACAGGTAATCAAGTTGTGGACTGCACGTTCAGCATAATAAACATTACTGAAGACAGGCACTCAGTTCTCACAGCGAATGTTGGTTTTTCAAACTGTTCTAATCCACACAAAGGCTTCCAAGAACATCTATACTCTACTTAGAGTTCTTTTTTTTTTTATTAAATGTTTCCACTGACGCTTTATACTCATCTTGGGCTGAAAAAATAAAACTCAAAAAACATGGATAGCTGCCACAGCTTAAAACAAAGAAAGGATCTTTCATACAGATCCAAAATAAAATGTTTTAAAACCTAAAGACAGGTAAAACAAAACCAGTATGTTTAATCTGTGTAACTCATTTCTGGATCTGTGTAACAGTATCAAGTCTGATAATGAAGCATTACTCATAAAGTAGAGAGTACTAAGAACTTTGTTAAAAGAAGGAAAAGGTGCAAACTTTTTTATCGGGTATGAAATACAACTGAGAGTATGGTACATATATAATATATAAGAAAAATGGTAGGAGGTCTTAATAAAACTACAAGTTTGCCCTTTTTAGCACGATGTTTTTTTTAATTACTATCTTTTCAGGATTAGGATGATGAATGCTGAGAACCTAGGCCTGCCGGGCATGGAGTAACCGCCGCCTGCACTAGTAGGGAAGTTTCCCACTTACATTTCGAACCCTAAAATAATTCTGCTTCTCATCTTAAAGTTTAAAGCTAAAAATTTATTCACATCTTAACCCGTTTAATATTTATAAGATTCTGTTTCTTTTTATCCCAAAACGAAAATATAACCCCAACCTACCTCGTTTACTGTTCGAGTGAGGCCAGGTGTGGTGGCTCAAGCCTGTAATCCCAGCACTTTGGGAGACTGAGGCGGGAGGATCACTTGAAGCCAGGCATTCGAGACCAGCCTGGGCAATATAGTGAGATCCTGTCTCTACAAAAATAAAAAATAAAGTAATTAGCGGGGCATGGCGTTGCGGGCCTGTAGTCCCAGCTATTCGGGAGGCTGAGGCGGGAGGATCGCTTGAGCCCAGGAGTACGGAGCTGCAGTGAGCTATGATCGCGACACCGTATTCTAGCCTGGGTGACAGGGCAAGTACCGGTCTCAAAAACAATAAAAATAAAAATATCGTTTGGGCAGTAGGGAGGTGGGGGTGGGGAGGGGCCGTTTCTGAAAGCCCTTTTGAAAAATTCAGCATATCAGTTCCAATACTAAAACATGGAAAAGTTGTATAGTCATTTTGTTTACTTACAAATTCTGGCGGAGTTTTAAATCGTAGAACTGTTAGTATCAGGGGAGCCCTTCGAGTGCTCTTTCCACTCCACACCGCCCGGCTGCACCCAGCGGCCGCCGCGGCCCGAATGTCGTCCAGCCTCCCCGCCCATATGACAGACACTTTCCGCGGGAAGGAGCCCGTGGAATGCTGGGAGTAGTAGTCTCTGTGCCCTGCCTTCTGCCGCCTTCTCCATCCTTCGCCCTCTACCTACAGGTCCTCTTACCCAGTGATAGGCACGGTAAATGTGTGCAACCAACCTGCAGAGGTCCCCGAGTTCTCAAGCTATATGACAGGATTGCAGGAATCTCTGCAAGACGTCTGACCACCCTGACCCATATGACCTAACTCAGGACCAACACAGTCAGAACTAGTACCGAATGGTAAGGGCAAGCTCCGTGTCCTGGAACTCACCCTCTGTGCCATTAAGAGGAGCATGTCCTCAAAAGAGTTGCCTAATCTAAACCTGTTTGCCCGAGTGTCAAATGGGGACGTTGTTTACCTCATAAGATTGTTATGAGTAAATCAGATGACGTATGTAGTATGTCTGCTAAATGATAGTAACAAAAAATAGCTATTGCTTTGATCTATTAATTTTATAAATGTGAAAATTAAGAGATGGTGAGCAACTTACCCAAGAACATACAATTGGTTGGGGGCAAAATCGAAGTCTAAAACTCTTGCTCCTGACCCACGCCAATTCAAGACAACACAGAAGAAATCTACTCATGTAAAACTCCCTCCCCTTTCCTCATTTTTCTTCTGTAACAGTCCTGACCAACACACTATTTTACTTATTTTGATTTTTGCTTGACTCCTCCCATAGAATATAATCTCTAAGAAGGCAGAAAACGTTTTTTTGTCTTTTAGTCTATTTTGTTCACTGCTGTATCCCCAGCACAGAGAACAGGGACTGCCTACTACATAGTACCTCAAGTATTTATTGAATTAATAATTCCTCATGTAATATGACTTTTGATGCCTTCATTTCTCAATCATCCTCTTTTGGCAGAAGTGACAGGATTTGGTAATACTCGATGCTGTTTAATAATTAACTGCAATTTCTAATTCAACAAAGTAGAATACTATATTCCATTCACTTTATTGTGTTTAATTTCAGTGTAACATTTCCAGCTAGATATTTTCATTTGTATTATTAAAATATTTTTTCCAATAAGGGAAATAAATGAGGAATAAATGGAGCCAGCTACTATGTCTTTAATTAACTTCCTATTTAATATTTTAATCATCTTTTCCTTATTAAAAATAACAATGTTGCCTGTTTCATTTCTACTACTAAGTCACAATGGATAGATGCTTGCTCTTTAACTGAATTTCTACTTACCCTAAACAAAAAGTTCCCATACAAAAATTTATTGTTTTAAAATGTTTCATTTAGAAGAATTGGTTTTGGCTGAGCTCAATGGCTCATGCCTGTAATCCAAGCACTTTCGGAGACCAAGGTGGTCTACTGTCACTGTAATGTCACCTGTTTTGAGCCACTCTTACAGACTGGATAATAGCTACAGCAGAATATCTAGTTTGTCAACAGTTTAGCTTTGCCTCACAGTGATGAAAGTTTGGTATCCGCACAGTTTCTAGGGGAAGGAGGCAATCACAGTAGAGGTATGTTTCTACATGCTTACAACCTCGACAAAAGAGGGAAAATCCTATGCCTATATATACATATATGTATATATATATACACACACACACACACATATATATATACACATAAATATATTAGCATTAAAGTTACCATGCCTCTAATTTTACAATAAGTGTCTCGTTAATTTAGTTGAAAGGACATTCCTAAGCCTTTACAAGCAGTTTTAATTACAAAATATGCATATTCTGATTATTCAGTAATATGTAGAATCTTTCAACTTCTAATTCAACTTGAATTAGTAGACTCTCGTTTCCTTTTTAATTTGTCCCTCAAACCCAAGTTTTACAAGCCTGTATCCAAGTTTTATAAGCTAGTATCCCAGTTTCTACAGTCACCTGTCTTTGTAAAATGTTTCAAGGAGGCTTTAATGTTCGTAACATGAACTCAATATATTACTATAAAATTTATATTTAATAAGTAAATCTATTAAGGAACGTTTACTATCGTGTTACTAATGAGTCATGCAATAGCCACTTTAAAGAGAAAGCACTACTTAAAACATAAAGCCACATATTACGATATCACTATTTTTCAGGATTTTGCTGGAAAAGAGTAAATCTAGCAAATTTCCAAAATATAGCATCTAATCCAGGCTGACAAAAGAGAGTATCCTTTTCACGTTTCCTTAAAAGACAAGAAAAAGAAAGAAGAAAGGGAGGAAGGGAGGCAGGGAGGCAGGGAGGAAGGGAGGCAGGGAGGAAGGGAGGCAGGGAGGGAGGGAGGGAGGGAGGGAGGGCAAGGTCTTTCTTGTTACTGTTCCTGCAGTTTTTTAAAAGCTATATTGTTAATAAACCTACAGTAAACTAAGCTCCTAACAGGCCAAACCCTATCTCACTCTAAAGCTGTAACTCCTCGTGCCTGTGGCCAAATTTATGGACAATATTAGTAAAAGCATAGTACAGATTACGACTTCAGTAGTTGAAATTTGTGCCAAGTTTGAGCAACAAATTAGTTGCTCAGAAACATTTTAAGATTGCTTGGAAAAATAAACAAACACCTTCATATTGTTCAGAATCACTCATTGTAACTGGTATCCAAATTACAATTTTTAAAATATATTCGCTCTAATCAATCATACAAAGTCCTACAAGAAGTTGTACATGTGAAAGCAATTTAAGCTTTTCCTTTTAAGGCGGGATTTCACCATGTTGGCCAGGCTGGTCTCGAAATCCTGACCTCAGGTGATCCACACGCCTTGGCCTCCCAAAGTGCTGGGATTACAGGCACGAGCTACCACGCCCGGCCTTTTTATTTTTATATTTTGAAGTAAGTTTTCTTTCAATAATTACTCAGACTTTACACGAACTTAATCGACCTTCCCTGAGTGTGTCTAAATTTGGTTAGGTATTTGAAGATTAGCCACATCTGTAAACATGGTATATGAAGGTGAAACAAATAGCTTTTATCATGCTGTCTTATTCCATAAAGTCCACAAAACATGCTAAATCAAATGTAGAGCATCACGTCATATCCAGAATAAAAGTAATGGATCACAACTTAAAGTTACAGTGCTGTCTTTAATCAAAAAACTTGTTCGCTTCTCACTGGGCATAATGTAGCGCTAACATGGTCTTCCGAGCAAGTGCTTCTCTTGGTATAAAACCAAGAAATATTAAAGAACCGGAATAAGGTTATGTTTCCTACGGGTGTATTTCAGAAAAGAAAATGTTTCCAACGACCATGACTGTAGATGGGATTTTGCACTCTCAACAGGTGACAAAATTTAAAACTCGGTAACCGCCTTCATAAGGAACTTGAAACTAAAATTTCTGCCACGAAAACATGACATGTGCAAAAGTTATCTCTCTGGCCATCACTCCTGCTAGGGACACTGGGAAGGACATGGCCAACGTAACAGTCGATCAAAAAGATTCCAGGGGAACTGCGCAACAGCCTGGGGCCAAGAAACGAAACTTGGTCTTCTCCATCCTCGTCTCACTCGTTTTTCCGGAGCCTCCCTGCGTGCAGGCAACACTTGCCACGAGCGGCTGGACTTAGGACAGGCAATTTGCCCTGCCACCCTTCTGTCGCCCCCACCCCTCCCTTAAGGCCGATGGCAGAGACGTCCTCCTCCCCCTTCTCCTCCTCTTTGGTGCCTCCAGCCAGGAGGCGGGAGCGACCCACAGCAGCTGACCCAGCTCTGGCACTGCCTCTCCCACAGCCCTCAAGACACACCATGGGCCCAGAGGCAGGTTTGCTACACAGCAGTGACGACGCAGGTGGCGGCCCCGGCGACACTCAACTGCCTCCCTGACCACAGCGACCACCGCCTAACACCCCCGAGAAGCCATCGCCACCACCGGCAGGAGAACCTAAGGTCCTTTAAAGCCATCTTCGCCATCAACTCAAGCTACGTCAACAACTATGGCGGGGGAGGGGCGGCGGGCGGAGGCGGTGCGGGAAGGATGGGGTATGTACGTCACCCCCAGGGCCCCCATCCGAGAAGGAAGGGGCCGGCTCGCCCCTCAAAATGGCGGCAGCAGCGATGCGCCTGCGTACGCAACTTCTCTGTCGCGCCAGGGCCGGCGGGAAGTGAGGTTTTCTGAGGAGCCGCCAGAAGTGTACGGTGACTTCGAGCCCCGGGTGGCCAAAGAAAGGTCCCCGGTGGGAAAACGGATCCGGCTAGAAGAGTTCCGGCCCGATTCTGCGAAAGAGGAAGTGAGAGAAAGCGCGTACTACCTTCGGTCTAGGCAGCGGAGGCAGCCGCGATCCCAGGAAGCTGAGGAGATGAAGACGCGAAGGGCTACCCGCGTTCAGCAGCAGCACTCAGAGCAGTCTCCGCTACAGCCGTCTCCCGCTACGACTAGGAGAGGGCTGCGGGACTCTCATTCCTCTGAAGGTGAGGACCGCGGAGGTAACAGTCACAGCCGCGAGCTAGGGAACGCGCAGGGGCGGGCGCGCGCCTCGGTGGATCTCACCCACTCCTGGGTACTCAGTGCTGGGATTGGGTACTGGGTATTGGGTGCTCCTCGGCCCCCTCTAGACGTGTGCCCCCGTGCAGGGTCCATCCTGACCCGCTAGCGGGAAGGAAGCGCCAAGCCAAGGAGTGGAAAGACGGTCGTGCGGAGCGACCCAAGCAGGGCTGGGGCGCCCTGCCCACATCGGGCATCAATTTAGGGGAGTCTGGGCTGCCTTTTTCTGCAGGCCTTCACGAGGGGACAGCGAATTACTCCAGGGTTGGTTTCATTTCGGTTCCGTCTACCCTGCGGATGTTTCTACCGAAACCACTTCCATTTCCTTCTTTAAAGCGCACAGGCCAGAGCCCCCCGCTGAGGATCTACCCTTCCAGTCTTCCCTCCCCGCCCAGATGGGGAGAGAAGGAGGAGAGATTTTGTGAATGGGCATTTCGAGGGGTTGCCGGGTTTAGTGAGTTGATTTGAGACCTCACCCAATGCTCACCCCGAAATGGGGTAACTCATTTATCCTGCACTGATG